GATTGTGCTGCCGTGGATGATATGGGTATGAGCAAGGCAGATCTAGTTTAACAGGAAGATGGAATTAAACATATGACAGTACAAGACAGCCAGTGTCAAAGGGTACGGACACTTAGGAGATGGTATAACCTAGCCTAAGTGCAAATGGAGACTCTCTGAAACCTGAGGGTTGACTAGGAATTGACCAGTCTAGGGGGTGAGGGAGATGGTGAGTAGACAGAGCTCAGCATCTACCAAGATGAAGGCTACCAAGAGAAGTCAAGTTGTTTTTCTGTTTTGCTCCCCCCCGCCCCTAATATTTTTCGTCTTCCAGGTAGTCCTTGTTGCTATTTTAAGTCTAATTCCATCTAGGTCAAAATGTGGGACACAGTAACCTATGTGATTTTTCCCTAGCTTCATCTCTAGTCCCAAAGTCCTACCTTACATTGGCCTGGTGGGTAGCAGGTCAGAAGAGGGCAGTTTAGAGTCAAGTTGAGGCTCAAGACTCTTTTTTTTAATACCCAGCTGTAAAGCCCTCACTGGTCTGTAGTTTCTCATATTGTGGTGGCTTGCTTGTGGCTGTTGAAAGGGACCAGTCCCTGGAGAAGGACATTATGCTCAATAAAGTGGAGGGTCAGAGAAAAAGAAGACCCCCAATGAGATGGATTGGCACAGTGGCAGCAGCAATAGCTCAAAAGAGGCAATGGTTGTTAAGGATGGCACCAGCCCGGGCAGTGTTTCCTTCTGCTGTACACAGGGTCCCTGTGAGGTGGAACTTACTCTACGGCACCTAAAAACAAACAAACAGATAAAACTGTGTCTATCAAAGCGCCCTGGTAGTATAGTGGGTTGCAAGTAGGGCTATTAATTGCAAGGTCAGGAAGTCAAATCTACTAGTCAATGTGAGGGAGGAAGAAAAGGCTCTCTGTGCCAGGAAAGATGTACATCTTGGGAAACAATACACTGGGTCATTATGAGTCGGAACAACCATGTGTGTATGGGGAGCACGGTGGTTCTATAGGATAAGCATGGACTGTGAACCACAAGGTTGGTGGTTCGAACCCACCAGCCACTCCATGAGAGACCGATGAGACTTTCTGCTCCAACAAATACTTTTTTAGTAGCCTCAGAAACCCTATACAGGGTCTTGATGAGTCAGAACTGACACAACAGCACTTAACAACGTATGTCTATCAGCAGTTGTGGTGTAGCACTGTATAATAAGCACTGGACTGCTAATCACTAGATCAACTATTCAAATCCATCAGCTACTCCTTAGACACCTTATACAGCGACTCTATGAGTAGGAATTGTTTTGACAGCACTTGACAAAAACATGTGTTTATAAGGAGCTCTGGTAGCGCAGTGGTTATGAATCGGGCTGCGAACCGCAAGGTCAGCAGTTCAAAACTACCAGCTGTTCCGCGGGAGAAAGATGAGGCTTTCTGCTCCTGTAAAGATTTACAGCCTTGGAAACCCTGTACAGGGTTGCTATGAGTTGGAACTGACTCCACGGCACATAACAACAACAACAATCAAGGAGCACCAGCCATTCTGGGGAAAAAGGATGAGGCTGTCTGCTCCCAAAAGATAGGCAGTTTTGGAAACCCTACGTACAGTCACTATGAGTTGGAATTGACTGGACAGCAGTGGGTTTGGTTTAAGTTTTTGATGTGTGTCTATCACAAGAGCCCTGGTGGCATAATAGTTAATTAGTTGGCTGGTAACCAAAAGGTTGGCTGATGGAAGGGAAAAAGATGTGGCAATTTGCTTCCAAAAAGATTACAGCCTTGAAACCCTACGGGGCAACTGTGCACTGTCCTATAGGGTTCCTATGAGTCTGAATTGATTCCACGCCAATGTTTGTGTATGTGTGTGTAGGTGGGTGGGCAATGCATCTCTCATTAAATTACCATTCATATTGATTTCATTCAAAAGCAAGGCCATACAAGTTGGGGTGAAAGGGACTGTAATATTGCCTCGTCTCTGTTTATATCCCTCCATCCCAGCTTTGATGCTGTTTTGGAGGGATGGGGGAAGGGGTGACTTGTTTACACCCCAGGGCTGCTTTTGAAACAGGAACAAGCACCCACATACATTGCACAATTCAGCTCCAACCCTGTCTCAGATAAGCTGGCCTTCTTAGTGACATATTACATATTGCTCTGTGGTTTTCAGGCTCTGGTGGGGTTCCCAAGGAGGGTGGGAAGTGTTCATTTCTGCAAGGTTTCTTTTCCTTTCACAGATGAAGAAATCAAAGCTCAGAGACACAAGATGACCAGGCAAAACCACACAGTAACTTGGATGAGATCCTCATTTTACAGATGAGAAAACTGAAGCTCAGAGAGGCTATTTGGCCAAGTTCCTATGATGGAAAGTAGACCTTCTAAGTCAAAATTCTGGGTGTTTTCCCACTGTGCTCTGTGATTTTGAAGCACACACAACCTTGGGATTTATTGATTATTTGTGAATGACCGGAATATAGATACAGAGATAATGATTAGATACCAGGTCTTTCAAGAAGTCCTCACAATTAACCATATTTGAGGACTCTTGCCAGTTCTTGATTTGCATCCAAGATGCAAATAAAATATCAATAAATACCTAACCCAGCCCAACAAATCCTTCTATGCCATTCAGATTGCCATCAAATCAGAAGTTTGTATGGGAAAAGTGCTTCCCTATCTTTGAATCCTCATTGAAGACAGAACAGAGAAGGTTTTCATTAAACATATGTTGAAAACAACAATTGAATCACCTAAGTCATTTGAACTGCAAGGTTAGTGGGTTCAAGCTCACCAGCTGCTCCTTGGAAACACTTTACAGGGTCACTATGGGTCGGAATCAACTTGACGGCACTTAACAACAAAACAACAACAGCAACAGGGTATTTTGAAACAGGCCTGGTGACACTGTTGTTAAAGTTCTTGGCTGCTGACCAAGAGGTTGGAGGCTTAAACCCATCAGCTACTTGACTGGAGAAAAATGCAGCAATGTGCTTCTGTAAAGATTGTTGCTATTAAGTGCTGTCAAGCTGGTTCCGAATCTTAGCGACCTGTATAGGGTTTCCGAGGAGCAGCTGGTGAGCTTGAACTTTGGATCTTACAGTTCAAACAGACCTGGATTACAGCCATGAGAAATCCTATGGAGCAGCTCTACTGTGTCCTATAGGGCAGGAATTGACTCAATGGGGAAGGATCCAGCCATGTTCCCTTCAGTTTCCCTTGAGGGCTAAATAGGGGTGGAAACATCTTTCTGCCACTGGTACCAGAGACCACTGGATGATTCATTCTGTGTAAGGGTATACCGACAAGACAAGGCTGGTCTAGATGGGAAGTGATCCAGTGACTTTCCTAGAGGATGGGCTATTTGTAAAACTGGAGTTGGTGTTATTAAGTGCCAGTTGAGTAGGTTGTGACTCACAGCAACCTTGCATAGGGTTTCCAAGAAGCAACTGGTGGGTTTGAATTGTCCAGTGCATTATCTTGCAGCGCCACACCGGAAACCAAGTAGTTCTGTAATTATGTTCAGATGGACAGAAAGGTGTGATCTAATAGAAGGAGGAAAGTAGGGGTGAGGGGAAGCAGGGCACATTGTAGAAACTAAGACTCAGGTCCCCAGGGAGTTTGACAAGGTCTGCTAGGCAAGGGGAGGGGCTCTGTTAACTGGAAAATGCTAGAATTAGCGTAAGTAGAAATCAAAATACTGTGGTCTGTAGACGGTTGAGAGACATTTTTGGGGAATTGAATTGAGCCCTAATTGCTCTTCTAAACCAAGGGCTTGTAAGGCAGCCATAAAAGTTGTCTCTTCTTTGGCCTGCTATCTGTTTTCACTGTGTCCCCCACCACAGGAACACATAAAATGAAATGGGGAACCCTGTAGTAGATGGGCCTTGGCTGTTCCCACAAACCTGAAAAAAGCATTTTCCTCGGGTATGTCTCAGCAGTTCCACTGGCAGAAGTTTTATCTCCTCGTGGTTCCAAGATAGTGTAGATTTTCAAGCAAAATTTAGGATGAATTTAAAGTGTATCCCTCTCTTCCCCAGCTTTGCCGTCAGCCCCTTTCCTGTGGGGCAGAGGATTTAATGCAGTGTTGCCTACCAACAGAGGGGACTGTAAATATTCCCATTTTACGGCTCAGTGCTTGGCTCCTTCGGAAGGGTCACAAACACCCCATTGTGCTGGACTCTGTGAACCGCATAGGTATGCGCGCTGCCTGCAAGGACAAATTGTAAAACTGTGTAATTGTCCAGGTGTGGCCATTCCCTTCATAGATATACCTACCCGGGCTTTTACTGCATCTGTGCAAAGTGCATATTTATTGTGCTTAGGTGGGGGGCAGTTTAGGTTGGTAAGGGGTAGTTTTGGCCGTGGCCCATTCAAGTAAATTTTGGTGCCCAGAGTAACTGAAAGTATGTGAGTTCCACCGCGGGGGTGGGTTCATCTGGATTCCAATTTGCCCCTTGTGTTCTCGGAGATAATTTTCTTGTCTTCTTCGGGTTTGGTTCACGCTCTTACTAGGAGTTACAGATGGGATGGTGGGGTGGTGGGGGTGGTGGAGTGCTGTGGCAGGATAGGGGCTGTGCAGTCAGAAACAGCGACTTGCCACGGTTTAGAATGACCTCGACACGACCCTATCAGGGTATCATATCAGTCAACTAACTCCAGGGAAAACGAGCGAGCCCAACACAACTCTTCATTCTCGCAGTGGGAACAGCGCCGTGGGCCCCGGGGAAGGGCACGCACCTCGCGGGCGCTCATTGCCTTGACTTCTCCATCCCAGCGGGGGGAGGGGCCGCCGAGCCGCCGAGCGGAGAAAGTGCGCGAAGGGGAC